CTCATTTAAATCGTGTTTAGTCCTGTATAAATCTCTTTGATGAGCGACGTTATCATGGCTTTCAAATGGTACATGATAGTATCTCGTTTCAGAAGATGTAGTTTCCCAATATGTTATTAAAACGCCCGATTGTGTCCTTTCAGTGTTTAAATCAATTCGATTTCGAAGTTTTAATCAGTAAAATTAAACAACAAATCATGATTTGATACTCTTTCAAATACTATGACACTGTTGATGGTTACATGGTATTCGTTAAGGTGTATGCCCGTTATATATATGGTACACTCGTTTTGCTGATTTAAGCAAACATGGTAGTAACGAGTTCTAACGATGTTACCTAAAGCGTCTGACATCCATTTTGTTCGAATTCGCAACACGTAAAGGTTAACCACGCTGTATCGAATAAGAGACTTTAAAAATCGATATTCCGAATTTGATCTTAGGTGAACATGGCGTCACAGTGTAAGATCCATAATTGAATAGCTGGAGTTTTTTTTCACTTTTTCTGTCTGCTGAAATGGTGATTTATAATTTGACATGGTTCCACTCCCATCCTGTTTCCGATAGTTATTGATTAAAACGCTTGAATTACACACATCTAGAATCTCGGAGAGACTGCCTGATTCAGTGTTCCCTTCATTTCCTCAGTGCTAATTTGCCCGTTTTCACTTTCTCCAAAATGTAATTAACTCTGATAATTTGTATTTTTTGTTTTATTTATATAAAAGCAACAAACATATACCTGGCCAAAGAGAGATATCATTGCAATTGTCATACTGATGGCCCTTAGATATGAGTATATATTCTATAAACAAAACTGTTTACGGTTTGGACACCAGCTTGTGAAATGTACATCGTTGTACATTACATTCAACGAGATATGTTGGTACATACTATGAAATTGATTCCTTGGTATTTACACATTGTTTATTAGCTCCAATGGAGTGGACGTCCATTTCAGAGCAATATAAACGTGTCGATTTCGTTTCATCACTGATATAGCGGAATAATGTAAACTAGCATAAACGTTTGTAATTGACAAGAAATGACCCTGAACAGGCATATCAAGTTGTCTTGTTGATAGCAATTGGCATCAATCATCAGATATTATCCCCTTTGATTTACGAAGAGTTAGATAGATACCTCTGTACGGGAATAGCGTCCTCTTTGTCGCGTCGTTCTCTGCCACACGTGGTAACACATTTCATAGGTGCAAGATCATTAATCAGGAACTAGAGAAGAATTCAATATCCAACATCATACTGTCGTTGTTGCTCGCTTTCGGAATAAATCATCTTATTACAGTGAATATATTATTAGTAACAAATTGACCACACCAGCGTAATAAGAACAAAATACATTATCTGTGTGGAGACTTATTCATCATGTGATACATTTGGTGCATAATCGTCCATTTTTTATCTATAACGAAAAAACATATTCCTTTTGTTCCGTCCTTGTTTAATATTAGCTTCTACACTTATCCCGCTTCCTTCTGTTTGCTCGAAGCAATAAATGTTATGATTAATAGTATTCCAACTTGGGTGCACAAGTACCTTTGACTCTACAGCTTGGAATACGGTCAGCTTGAAAACCGTGTATTACATACGTATGAAAATGAGCAACGTATATTCATTACGGTATACGTAATGTATCATTGTTTGTCATATAATTTTCTAATATTATTTTAATTTTCTAATATATTTTATTACTTATTAAGGTAACCATTCCGAACTGAAATGATAAACCTACGTTGCCTTGAATCATCAAATTACAATTTAAATAAAATAATTAAGTTATGTACATGATTATTGAGGAGGTTTTAACGTTGACGTTAGAAGTACATTTTAAAATTACAATATAAATAAAAACAATTAAGTGATGTACCTGATTTTAGAGGAAGTTTTAACGTTGACGTTAGAAGTACATTTTAAAATTACAATTTAAATATAAATAATTTAGTGATGTACATGATTATGAAGGCAGTTTGAACGTTGACGTTAGAAGTACATGTAGGTAAATTAAGTCTTATGGAGCACACAGCCACCGCACAATATCCTAAGCAAACAAACACAATGGTATAAACTTTAGGTGTATAAGATCGACGGTAGTGGTTTCGGCGCGACACTCCGTGACAATGAGATCGGTGGCGCGAGTCTTTTCATTAATACCCAGCTCCTGGCCCGCACTCAAGTTACTGTGGTAGTTCGTGAGTTGTGCACTCAACCATAGTCCCAGTGACACGACGCGATCTCAGGTGCGAATAATCGCACTTATTGACATTTTTCTTATCATTGCTTAGGGCAAAAATTGTAATTTCTGTGTTTATAATTTCGTACGGATCAGCAGTTTTTTAACCCGAGTGATGCTTCAGATCTGAAGATTCATCAGTGCTTCAGATCAACCCAGGTCCTTTGGGACCTTTCATATTCACTTTCGTGATGGGGAAAAATGATGGTGGAGAAATTGGGGAAATAATATGAAAAGAATAATTTATTTTTACATTCATAGCTCTGTGAATATATTTTTGTGTTAAAGTGATAAAACGTGAAAATATACTTGCAATATCTATGCGATATCAACATTCGAGTGTACATATAAATAAAAGCTGCGATAGTGAATGGAACAGTTTGGATCCGGGCTCGTGAATAATGGATGATCCTTCAAATGCACCCGAAGACCTTGTTTCGACTCCTACACATCCTACCCCTACCCCCCCACACACACACACTCCTCCCTGTGTTCCTGTATGTACCCCCAGTCCCATCAATCCCTTGTTGTAACAAAAAAGATGACTACGAGTTCGCCCATCAGGCTGTGCTGTTCCACGGAAGCCACCCCTTCGCTTCCCACCTATCTCAACAGTAAGAGTGGATCGTCAATGCAACAATAATGCAACAGACAGCAGAGCTAACGTCAGCAGAGTTTATTACAAGGGGGTGAAAACATGGAACAGCACAGCCTGGATACCAGCCTGACTCCATGTTCCAGTTGTTCAGTTTTGTCTTGTAACAAAAGTGGGCCTGGAGACAAGGTCTATAGATATGATGTCCTTATTTCAAATAATTTAGTTTTCAAAGTTTCGTAAAATACGATTTGGTAATATTTGCAAAAATCACTTTTCAAAAAGACACAGGTTATCTATGTAGTGTACAACATTGCGAAAAGCGTCTTATGACACTGTACTATATTTTACTCGAACGCAAGTACACGTGTGTGCCCTTTATCGACAGTTTGTTTATAATTAGTATTATGTGTTCACAAGTGGTTGAAAAGCTTTCTAACTTTCACGAAAATTGTCATATGAAAGATATCCGCGTCTCCTATAGGATTTGACATGGTGTTCATTTCCTCAGAAGCATTAATATCATTGTACATTTCAAAATGACAGTAAGTGAAAATATCAAAATGACTATCAGTTTTCACATTAAGTGAACCATCGTACGCGTTTTAATATTTTACCGAGAAGTCGTGAATTTTTTTATTCGCTCTTTGTGTATACGATACTGAAGTTCAACATATATCTGCAAAGTCTGTAAGTTCACGATCTGAAAGTGAAACTGACGATGACTTCAGTTGATAGCGTACGCTCATATATAATTCGGCACAGTGCGCTTGGAAATAGACTTGTGATAATATATTTCAAAATATAGTGTTCTGTTTATTGGTTTTTTTTTAGTATTACTCGTGACACCCGAAGACGATGATATAACTTAAAAAATACTTAAATGTCCTAGGTCATTCATCGTCATTTAATGTATTCATTCTGTACCAACTAAAACTGTATTAATAAAAAAAAATATATAAATTAAAAGTACATAGGAAAATGTTTTTTCTGTTAAAACGTACATGTGTTTTTAAACCTGACAGCAAGCTATCACGATAGAAATGTTAATATGGATGAGACCAAACCCATTCCGTAACCATTAGAAATCTCTGCTAAAAGCGGAATCAATTGCAGGATTCCGGCAACATCATACCTTATTTGTTTACGAATCTCTTTGAAATAGTGATGAAGGTGTACGCGAACAGGTGATCGCATACCTCCTCACATTTGCCACTCGAAACAAACACACGCAGTTCCCCTGGGAGTTCGTCGTCTATTTTACCATTATCTATTTCTCACGCAAAAATGGAATTAGCAGTCACTGGGAAGTGGATTTGCGAATTTGGTTTAGTATTTGACCGAATATTAGTCTCCGTCAGGCTGTGGGCAACAATAAACAATATAGTTTGGGAATCAATATATTATCAGAACTTATTATTATATTTTTTCATGATGTAAACATTTTCAGCTGAGTTGCCTTACTCATCTGTTTAAAAAAGCGAAATTAACAGTGTCCTCTGTTGTAATAAACACAATGTATATCTCTAACATTCCTGTCAGGTGACTGTTTACTTTTGTTTATATATTTTGTATTTTAAACATGTTTATTGTATTTTTACAAAGGAAGAAAAAACTCGATTCACTTGTTTACTTGGATATTGGATACTTGGATTTACTTCAATTTTTTAATTACATATTATTTTAAGTGTGTTTGTTTCTAATTTATGTTAAATAATAAAACATGTTCTTGTTTAGTCTATCCTCATAAAAATGAAGATTTTGTAGGGGAAAATTAAAAGTGAGAGAGGCCTATGTGGCAAAAAGCTTTAAAATGATAATCAAAACGGTGCAAGCTGTTCTTGTTGTCATTTCTGCTATAAACAGTGTCGATTCTAGTTTTACGAGCATGTGTTTACGAAAACGAATCACCATGAAATAGTGACGTGAAGATGTTGCAGAAAGGTGAACATATCCTGCGCCAAGGCAACAGTCACAAATACATGCAAAGGCAGAGTAATTGTTCGCCTGAAAACACTCAGTAAAGTCGAAATATGGAATGTATGGGACATATGTTATTGCCACTGATTTACTTTTCCTCAAACAAATTTCATATCCTTTTCATGTACACATTAAATCGTTTCGTATAAATTATGACGTGTTGTCTCCATTTCAGATGGCAACGATGGCGAGACAAAGAGATCACGTACTTCATACACAAGACATCAGACGCTCGAGCTCGAGAAGGAGTTTCATTATAACAAGTACCTCACAAGGAGACGCCGAATCGAGATCGCACATGCGCTGAATTTGACAGAAAGACAGATCAAGATTTGGTTCCAAAATAGGCGGATGAAATGGAAGAAAGAGCACAAACTCTCTCACATTGCCAAAAACATGAACCTTGCGAATGCTCTCGAGAAAGTAGCAGAGGAACGCAAAGCTTGTATGTAATGACGTCACACATACGTCACTATGACATCAAATAAGACACCCGAAGGTCGGGAAAACCATGCGAGGTTGTAGCCCCGACTGACTTATCATGTGGTGCAAGATACGTCACGTGACACCCACAAATCAGACGATACGTGCACGTGCAGCTCGTGGCGCCGCGCACGTTGTGGTGAAAGACTGTCATGTGATGTTGTCACGTGATAAATGGAGGGTAAATGGCTTTGTGACGTCATAATTGACGCGGCAACTCTTTGTGATACTTGCCTCGGTCAAAATGGGTAATTCTCATACATTATGTGTAAATGTACATACTCTCAAGCTGACTGCGACAACGTTTCTCTATGTTAGGACTTGTCATGTTTTTGTATGAAGGGCGAGTTACATTTAATGTAATTACACGAGTTGCAAAAGCATTTCCAACAGCCAAACAACATATTAAACACCAAAGATGTCATGGCCCAATTTAAGACTAAACCCACTTTTTGTGTTATGTACCATTCGATATCAGGTAGAAGTAATTTTGTGATCTGAAAATTCGTAAACAACCACGGTAACATCTGTAGTTAATATGCTCGCTTGTTACACGTCTTGCTTATTGACATAATAACACAAAAAAGCTCAGACAATCATGTTAAAAAACAGTAAGTGATAAATCATTTTGTGAAATATTGAACGAAACTAGATCTGATGTTGGTACTAAGTTGAAAACTTAAATATGCACCTGAAGTAATATACATATACATGCAAATCGATTATTTGCAATCTGCATAATACCGGCTCTTCACATATGCAGTTTTGTTTTAACCATTAACTCAAACTAAGATTATCTAAAGAAATATGTTGATTTTTTATAATATTCGTGTACTTTATAATTTGTTGTTAACCCCGGTCAGCTGGGATGAAGATGTTGTAGATAAAAGTATGTATGTTTATTATTATTATTTTAATTGTAATCATGGCGGTATTGCTTAATGCAAGACCTAATTTAAGTTAGTGTGAATATGATATAAACTATCAGATCGACATATCATTAGCTGAATGAGTGAGTTTGAACGGTATTCAAGTGTAGATAGGTAAATCGCGATGATAACGATATGTGCAATTCAGCGTTGAAACCAAAGTGATTTTTTATATGATTCCTCGAAATCTTTAGTGCTACTGAATATTATAGATGTTCTAAACATTATACTATATATACTCAATATACGGGTTTACATACATCGGATGGATTTCAGAATTCATAAAGGTCTATTTGACAGAACTAGGATTACGTCACTAAATCATTTATTAAATGTTTTATTAATTCATATGAGTGACGCGGAACGAGCTACACACATTTCCATTTCAGACGAACCCTTCTCTGTTCTTGCATATCATAAAATGTAACTTCACTTCAAGTGTAATAATTGATTAAATGTCGATTGCTTGATAATTGAAATTCTGGAAAAGACAGTTTTAAAATTATTTTGATGATATTTATCCTCAAAATAATAAGATGTTTTTATTTTGTGTAAGATGTGAGGGTTGAACGTGTTAAAATAACTTTTATCTTTGGCCATATGAAGAGAATGATGTGCACAAAACACATGTCGCATTTTGTCGCGTTGTTTTGTGGGAATGTACAAAGCCACACAATCCACAATGTCAATTTCAGGCATAATATATTCAGTGCAATGACCAATGGAGAAATCATGTTGATTTCATGTCTTTGTAAGGCGCGGTAAGTGTTCGTTTTTTATGATGAAAAGAAAAAAAGGGACTTGGCGCATCTTTAACCAGGGTAAAAACTATTCATCTGATCATTTGTGATGTTTTGTGTATATTTTATGAAAAAAACGTATCAAATGGTGTTTTTCACGTTTCCATGGTAACTTACATGCACTTAATTTGTAGTTGCCATATAGTGCTCGAATATATCGCGGGAAATGTACTTTGAAAAACTTGCTCATCCGTTTCCATGGGTTGCAATGCAAGCTCTGAATTCGGCTTGGCAAGAAGCAATGTATAAGTTATATAAGATTTTATGAAAATCTCATTTAAAATTAACGTTGGAATAAAACGAAATATGATGAAAACAATTTCACCGGTAGATTATACGTCGTCTTGGAAATATGTTTTTTCGGTTATGGTTGCAATATTTTGCATGTCAAGTGGGAATATTTTACAAATAATGAAATGGTACTGTCAACAGGTGTTGGTTTAGATTCTATCACCAATTAATATTTCCAAATATTAATTATTTTATAAACAATTGGTACTGATTGAATAAAATCAAATGGTGACGCGTTAAAACACAACAACCGGATCACATATTCGATGGCTTAGTTAACAAAACTTCGATACGACAAAATTAATTTTATTAAATGGAATAAAATAGTTTATAATTTTGTACATAAGATACAAGTGAGTAAGGAAGTATATTTCCTGTAGATGTAGTTGGAGACATTTTATTGTCACGTGGCTGTATGATATCGTTCCTGTAGTTGGCGTCAGTGCAGCGACCGTTCATCGTCAAATTAGATGCGTACCATCTTGTTTTCATCTGTGCCATATAAAATAGTACACCTCATTGACTTTGTTGTTTTGTATTTATATATTTGTCATTGATCCAGTCAATGAAGTTGGGAAACTGTGGAGAAAACCGCGGAAAACTAACACGGGTAATGGTCTGAGCCACACCCATTTCATTGTTGATAATTTGTAACATTACTCTGCTGCAATGTTATATGTGCGAACGCACATACATATTTCTCTATATAAACTACACACAGAGAAAATGTACATTTCGAAATGTGTATGTGTCTCTATAAATGTGCGCGTCTGTGAATATATATATATATATATATATATATATATATATATATGTATGTATGTATGTATGTATGTGTGTATGTATGTGTATGTATGTATGTATGTATGTATGTATGTATGTATGTATGTATGTATGTATGTATGTATGTATGTATGTATGTATGTATGTATGTATGTATGTATGTATGTATGTATGTTCGCATGCATGTTTGTATTGTATTCACACATAAACACGGGCCGGTGGGGTAGCCTAGTGGTTAAAGCGTTCGCTCATCACGCCGAAGACCCGGGTTCGATTCCCCACATGGGTACAATGTGTGAAGCTCATGTCTGGTGTCCCCCGCCGTGATATTGCTGGAATATTGCAAAAAGCGGCGTAAAAACCATACTCACTCACTCACTCACACATAAACACATACTGTCCCATTTGTCACATATATTTAAACACATATTTACATGTACTTTCATTTGCTGAAGTTTTAATCACACATGTAGATCTACATTACACTCACATTGCTCCTACTATAATGCAGTGACCATAGTGACTTAACAAATGAAGGCACTTTAATAATCAGGGTTACTCCTCCGTTAATGATATTCTGATGTGAGATGTCGTTCTTGGTGTGTACATATATATACATATATACATTTCCGTTTCCACTGGGGCGGTGGGGCAGCCTAGTGGTTAAAGCGTTGGCTCGTCACCTCGAAGACCCGGGTTCGATTCCCCACATGGGTACAATGTGTGAAGCCCATTTCTAGTGTCCCCCGCCGAGATGTTGCTGAAATATTGCAAAAAGCGGCGTAAAAACAAACTCAGTCAGTCCGTTTCCACTGACAACCTAAATCGCATAATGATAAAAAGTATGACTCATTCATTCATTGCAAGCTGCTTCTTAGTTCGTTAATTGCAAATCAAACAAGTTTGTGAATTCTTCATATTCAAAAGTCTCCCAACATATTCAAGTATCGCACATCAATGTGGTCCTAAGAAATTCAGGTTTTGAAATATCCATTTCGCGTACCATCTTCATGTACGGTTGGAATCGAAGCCTTAAGACAGGTCTCCATTATCATGGAAAACATTTTGTCGTTTTATTTTTAAATAGACCCAACACAATTGTCGCGTTGCTCATCTTTTGATCACTGACTGAAATGTTCCGATTATTCATCTCAGTTTTAAAACATTGCTTCTATTTTAATTCTTTTCAACTCGATTTTTAAATCATTAAGTAAAATCCTACCGGAACACATATCAAACCAGGACGTGTTTGGAGGAACCTGTATAGCAATAGTAAATACGAGAAAGGGCACTTGTGGTTGATGGTGTTAATATTTTGTTTGAGGGAAATCTAAATATTAAAATGATCTGTTCAGGTATTAGGTGACGTGGTGCAGGAGTTACGTAATAAAGCCTCACTCATGATTCAATGTCACACGCCAGTAGCGTTACGTCGGCCTCACAGACACATGTATCAGTCAACGCCCTTCGTCTTGCATCAATACGCTGAAATGGACATCAACCATAAGGACAAAACCGGGCTGACGTCTGATACAACATTACGATTGATATTCTGACAAGGACAGGTCTTAACTTTATAGAAGATATTCCAGCTCACGTTAATCCAGCTATTTCCATCCTTTGAACGAAGGCGAGGTAAACGCCAGTAAAGCTTATGCATGACCCAGTATGTTTCCACGTGTTCTTTCGTAGATGTGTATTTTCGATAAACGCTTTTGAAATGTGTCGAAACTACAATTCCGCGCATTTTGCGCTTTCAGAACTTACCACAATAACCTCTAATGCATAACATAATTCCCGTCCCAATACAGTTTCTAACGGCATATTTGGAAACACTTGATATTGTAATAAAGTACCATTCGGCATGAACTGAAATGTATTACGTAAGCACTGGGTGTGATTTCCACTAAGAATGTTATCATTTCGCTGCATAAAAATTGTCAAATATATGTATAGTTTTAGGGAATCTAGACTTTCTTCATTTAGAGCTTTCGCGTTGCAGAGAGGGCAAGGCAGTATGGAAAATACTGTGGTTCAGGGACTCTGAGACACACACACACACGTTTTGGTAATCTGGTTTTTACATGCATACGTATTGCAATGCAGTCTCGACTTGGCACAACCAAACAAAGGGAATATTACCCCAAAAATTAAAACTTGAGGATCAGGTATATCGATATCGTCCAACACTGGTAATATTGTCAATTATCTTCCTGAGGATTAACCCACCTGAACTAAAGATAACGGCGACCAGTGTCATCGTGTCGTCAACTTCATATTTAGATTTATGTGTAAAGATTCAAGTGACACAAATCTCCCGTCTGGACTCCGTGACAAAAGGGTGACTTCAACTTTCCAATAGTCAACATGGCTTTATGTTGAGCAATAGTCCAGCAGCTCAGCCTTTGATGTCTAATTTTAGAAACAGTTGAGCTTCAGCCGAGTTGGCTCTTTCTGGGAGCGCCAAATGATTCTTGTTCATTCAGGTCTCATGGTGGACATATGGAAGACATTCCAAGTTTGACGCGTCAGCGACAGTGTGCAGTTGCCCTGGATAGCATGTGTTTGTGTTCGAAAAGACATTACATGTTACACACATTAACCCATTATATAGTTTACTCAAATTTAGTTAAAATCATCTGATTTCTTTATGATACTAGGTGAACTGCCGCACCCGCACTCCTATAAGTATACACTGACTGACTGACTGGCTGACTGACTGAGTTTGGTTTTACGCCGCTTTTGGCAATATTCCAGCAACATCACGGCGGGGGACACCAGAAAATGGGCTTCACACATTGCACCCATGTGGGGATTCGAACCCGGGTCTTCGGCGTGACGAGCCAACGCTTTAACCATTAGGCTACCCCACCGCCCCTTATGAGTATACAAGGAGGCGGTACATTAACTGACCATACTGCCTAACTCGACACTTATGTAATATGTACACAAAGAGTGGAAGCGTGGTGGTTCGGCACACTAAAAGAAGTTAAGATATGAAACTTGATGTTACCCTGCCTGGGGCCCGGCATTAATGGATACAAGAAGAACTGGTTGCCTCGGAGTCAGTATAATGTGTTTGAGGGGGGGTATTTCAGTGGGCTAGCAGTATGGAACTGGCAGTAGAAATAAAAGGACACACACACACACGCACTTGCATGCACAACGCCATATAAGTGGGAGTGAATGAGTTTAGGGGGACACCAGGAATGGGTTTCACACATTGTTCCCATGTGGGGAATCGAACCCGTCTTTGGCGTGACGAGCGAACGCTTTAACCACTGGGCTACCGAACCGCCCCGCCGTATAAGTGAAACAACCTTGAACCGGCTGATCTCATTTCACCTCAACGAAACCAGTTGACAACCAATGGATTACACACATAGTAATGATATGGGTCTCACTTAAAGATAGATGTAAACATACATAACTCGAACTTCCATATCTCGAACTGCAATTAACTACATTCATAACGGACACGCTTTTAACGAACTGACATATATAACGAACGGTTTTTTCTCGACCTGTTCCCGAATATTTTCGTCAAAACGCGTGTAACGAACTTCGGTTATAACGAATTAAAATCAGAGACCCTCGTTTCATTGTCCAGGCAAAATTCCGCTAGACATTTCGGTCTAACACAAATACAATGAACTCAACAGATGGATCAGGCAGTATATATTCGAGTATTACAATAAGCTACGGTTATATCGAATTCAAAGGGACCACCAGCTTTTGTAAAAACGTCATAACCGTAGTTCGTTAACGTATTACACTGAAATATACCGCAAGTAGTCGGACCCATAACAGTTCGATATACCCGTCAGTTCGATATAAGCGTGTTCGTTATAAACATAGTTCACTGTATATGCATGTAGTGCATCCGTTTAATCTGCTAATCTGCCCTTCCAGTCTCTCCTCGGAAATTACAAGAGACTTAAGCTTGTTTTAGTGGACATCTCTTGTGATTATCGTAACGTTGTATGTCGCTTTTATTTCACATTGGGCTTGCGACACGGGCCAAAACATGTTCATTTCAATTTGCATATTAGCAGGGATAATCTACAACCGTTATATAGTCTCCCTTGTATTAGTGACCATTCACGTGCTTTCGGTTTGAGCATATTTGTATCACAATTATCACAACATTGGTAGCGTCTTTGAATCGAGTATCACCTAGAATGTAGGATGTACGATTACTTGGAGCATTTTTTGTTCCGCAATAATGAAATTGACTTGATAATATTCCGACAGGCCATTTTGGGGGCCGGGAGAATCGGTTTATTGTGCAAAGTTGGTTGGTTGGTTGTTGTTTAACGCCGCACTCAGCAATATTCCAGCTATATGGCGCCGGTCTGTAAATAACCGAGTATGGACAAGACAATCCAGTGATCAACAGCATGAGCATCGATCTATGCAATTGGGAACCGATGACATGTGTCAACCAAGTCATCGAGCCTGACCACCCGATCCCGTTAGTCGCCTCTTACGACAAGCGTGGGTTACTGAAGATCAAGTCTAACCTGGATCTTCACGGGTCTTGTTGTGCCAAGAAAGCCGGTAGAAAGTGGTGCTGATCTTAATGTTGTACAAAGTGTGAATATTATCATGGTACATGGATTCGAACTCGTACTCCCTGTCACGTTTGAGAGACGCACTTTTTAATTTTAATTTCAGCGCCACAGACTAGGCTGGCTGTGTCCCCAATGTCTGCGTTTTGACACTCAGTCTAAAAA